ATCCATACTCAATCAAATTTTCTGATCTGGTGAAGTCAATCCAAAACTGAAGCCCAGGGAGGGATTCCATATCCTTAAGCACACTCTCCCCTTTAATTCTCCCTCAGATATTTGCTGAGCTGTTTGACCCAGTGATCCAAGAGCGACACAATGGCTATGACCCCCGGACAATGAAGCATACCACTGATCTGGATGCCAGCAAAGTAGGTCAAATATCCTACTTTTGCCTTGTACTGTCTTTGTGTGCAATATTTTTTCCTTCTCCAAACACTTCACCTTGATTATTTCCTGACTCATGATTATTGTACTGCTGAGCTTTTAATCTTGGTGTCAAGAAAAAAAAATCTTATCTTAAGGAGCAGCAGATATAGGGAGGAAAGGGTGGATGAGAATGGCCATGGCCCAAGGTGGGTAATTTGGAGGAGGGTCCACAATGCCCCCTTCACCTAGAAGACTTTCCCAATGGGACCCCTTTTTCCTCTCTTCATAAATGCTCAATATAAGTAGTGAGTAGTCCTATAATCCCTAGTGTCTCTCCAAGGACCCAACTTCCACCTACTGTGTTCCTGTGATCATCAGTGTTCATTTCCCTTACTCTCCAGATTCGCTCTGGTTACTTTGATGAGAGGTATGTATTGTCATCAAGAGTCAGAACTGGCCGAAGTATCCGTGGACTCAGTCTGCCTCCAGCCTGCACTCGGGCAGAGCGACGAGAGGTGGAACGTGTTGTGGTGGATGCACTGAGTGGCCTGAAGGGTGACCTGACTGGACGTTACTATCGGCTCAGTGAGATGACAGAGGCTGAGCAGCAGCAGCTCATTGATGTGAGGACCCTTACGTGGGACCTGGGTTGTGGGAACAGATGTAAAGAAGTGCCAGGGAAGGTGGAACCAGAGAAGCTAGATAGGCTCTAAGAGGCCCAGTGTCTACTGTTAGGATTCTTAACCCAGGTCCCTTTGCTCTCCCCAGGACCATTTTCTATTTGATAAACCTGTGTCCCCATTGCTCACGGCAGCAGGAATGGCTCGAGACTGGCCAGATGCTCGTGGAATCTGGTATGAGGCTGCTCTTTTTTTTTTTTTTTTTGTCCCATAAATGCCTTTTTTCTCTCTCCCTGAATTCTTGCCCTGCTTCTTGACCCCTCCTTCCTGCCCTCAGGCACAACAATGAGAAGAGCTTCTTGATCTGGGTGAATGAGGAGGATCATACACGAGTCATCTCCATGGAGAAGGGAGGCAACATGAAGAGAGTATTTGAAAGATTCTGCCGAGGCCTCAAAGAGGTGGTACAGGGGAGCTAGATGGGAGGACATAAGAAAAACCAAAGACTAGCATAGGTAGAATGACTACATAATTTATCAATCAACTGTGAACACTTTGGGGAATAACTAGTGGAAAAGGGCAACATTAATTATTATAGGAAATAGATACAAACCAAGACTGTTCTGGGTAAGCCAGGGCATACAAGGTTGGTGGCTCAAACCCATCAGCCACAGCTCCTCAGAAACCCTACACAGGGTCACTGAGTCAGAACCTACTTGATGGTACTTAACAACAATAGAAATAGAAAGAGGGAATGAATATCAGGAACCTAAGTAAGTAAATAGAGCAAATAGTTGTCAATGCCAAGTAGGAATAGCTGATTCGAGATGGTGGAGTGTGCAGATGGGGAAAATGTTTGAGCCTGGATTGCTTATAGAGGTTGAGAGACTGATATATTTATGACCTAGTTCTGAGCCTAGTTAGACCTTGACTGTGGATTCCATATTCTTACTAAAGTAATATGTCTAAGCTTTAAATTGAGAGTGGGAGGAAGGCTGGAAGATGGAGTATGAAATGGCTTGAGTTTCAGAATGTGTGACTCTGAATAAGGGCTCTCCAATCCTCTATGGATTCTAGATTCAATTCTAGAAACTTCACACGCCCAACTCTTATTTCATGTTCTTAGATATACAGTTCTATTTTAGATTTGCAAAGAGAGGGAGCTCCTCTTCCTTTTAGATTCTAGCTGGGAAGTTTCCACTTTTTTGTCAAATAACATATTTTGAATGTAAACGGGCAGAGAAGTACTTTTAAAGTTATATGCATCTGTTTCCTCATCTGTAAAATTGGGATAATAAAATTTCCTACTTTTTAGTTTATTATGAGGATGAAATGAGATAATGCCTATAAAGTACCTGGCCTATAGTAAGTGTTCAGTAAGTGTTAGCTGCTATTATTATATTTTAGATGGAAGGTTTTCTCCATGTTCAGCATGTATGAGATCCTCCTATGCCATGTTTTTTTCTCAACTATGAACAGGGATTCATTTACTCATGTTAGGTAGTGGTCTTCATGTCAATCACTGAGGAGAATCCTCTGTCTCTTCAGTTTTAATAATCAATTTTATGATTAGGATGCTTAGGCAAAACAAAAATAAACTTCATACACACAAGTCTCTGACTTCTCCTATTTTTACCTTCTCTGCTTTCTCATATATACTCTTTCCACAGATAACAAAAGGTTCTCCTTCCTCTTCCTGTTGCAAAGCTCACACTCACTTCCTATCTGAAAGGATCCTTCCAATGCCAGGGCTTATTAGCATGCAGAACTCTTTGAATAATGAATCTTTTCTTAGTTCAGTTTACCACCTCCACTATTTCCCCAGATTTTCCTTAATGCATAATTCTCTCAAGTTTCTCTTCTTCCCTCCACACACAAGAAATGTTCCCACAATTGACTTGTGGCATCAAAATTACTTTGCATGCATGATAGCAATAACAAACCATTTCTACCCAAAAAAAGAAAGTAGAGTCATTCTCTCACACTTCAAGTTTCTAGACGTAGAAAGAGTTCCTGTGAGCTAGCTAAGGAAGGGTCCATATATCCCTGATTTTTCACTAACAGAGACTTTGTGGACTCAGGTGGAGCGGTTGATCCAGGAGCGTGGCTGGGAATTCATGTGGAATGAGCGTTTGGGATACATCTTGACTTGTCCATCTAACCTAGGCACTGGACTTCGGGCGGGAGTGCACATCAAACTGCCGTTGCTAAGCAAAGTAAAGGATTTGTGGGGTTGGAAAAGGGTGTGCATGAGGAAGGTGGGTGGCAATGGATGGTGAGGGGATGGACACTTTGAAAGGGCCTAGATGCACTGTGGCTAAAGGGCCAGGAGAAAGAGCTTGGTGAAGGTCTAGGATTCTTTCAGGTAGGGTCAGTTTCTGACGCTATTGATCCTAACTTTCACCTCTATCTCTCCTATAGGATAGCCGCTTCCCAAAGATACTGGAGAATCTAAGACTCCAAAAGCGTGGTACTGGAGGAGTAGACACAGCTGCTACAGGCAGCACCTTTGACATCTCTAATTTGGATCGACTGGGCAAGTCAGAGGTGAGGTCCTTAGGGATTAGAGGGGGCAGGAGCATATGTCTGTAGGGATTGAGATATGAGAGAGAATGAGCTTCTGGAATGTAATAGAATCTGAATTGAAACTCAGTTGAATGGTTGAAGGGGAAGGCAACTGGAAAAGAGATCCCAGAGCGGGAAAGTTGGTGCTAGAGAAACTCATGTTGTGGAAACCTGAAATCAAAAGTTGATGTCCTTCAGGTGGAGCTGGTGCAAGTCGTCATCGATGGAGTAAACTATTTGATTGACTGTGAACGGCGTCTGGAAAGAGGCCAGGATATCCGCATTCCTCCACCTCTCACCCACAGCAAGAATTAACTCCTCATTCCTAACAGATGACTCAAGATCCCCAGGAATTTTGCCTATTGTAATGGTGGCCCATTCTATTTGTCCTGGACTTGCCCCATCGTAGTAAAGACTCCTTGCTGTGGTTCAGCTAGCTGTCTGTGTTAATTCTGATGGTGGGGTGAGGATGGAACAGCTTCTAGGAAAGGAAAGAGGCAATAGGGTTATATGTGATGGAAAGAGACTGCAGATATGGCATGCCAGGAACACTGAGTTTCAGGTGGGTGTGAAAATTAGCATTTTACCCATATTCCCCATCCATCTACTGAGAATAATTAGGAGGCACTTCTATTTGCACTTTATTCATTATGACTTAAGATTTCTGGCCAACAGTCTCCCTCCTCAACTGTACAGATAGCCTCAGAACAGTTGGTCAAGGAAACGTATGGTTAATACCAGGGCCCAGTAGAGTTGTGACCTGTCCTGGAGGCCCCAGGCTGTGCTTCGACCTATAATGAGACAAGGCAAGAGAGGACTGTTGTAACTCTGCTCCCCAGAAGCCACTACCACCTAAAAACTAGCTTTCTGACCATAGACCCCTTCACTCCAGGGATCTTCCTGAGTGGGTTCTAAGAGCCAAACAGCACCAAGCTAGGGGTCACATTCTGCTTCAGAAGATGAAGGATCAAACTGTGCAGTTGAGAACTTACCCTGCTGTTCTGGACTTTCTTTTCCCTCATGCTGGGCCCATGCAACTGCTTGTCGCTGCTCAGGACTCAAAAAGGCCATTTGCTCAGGAGTAACAGCCACAGCCTGAACACTGGTAAGACTAGATAGCTGGGTGGGACTAAACACCACCTGAGGATGGGGACAGGAATCAATACATCCAATGTGTGTCTCCACCAGGCTCTGGCTTTCTTGTGATCACTCTAGGCCCCAGTTCATCAGAACTTACAGCAAATTTAGAAGCAGGGATGACAGAAATGGCAAGTGGTGTAAGGCCCTGGATCTGTCCTCGCAGCAGTGCTGAAATAGCAAGGTCCGGGATCCCAGCTGTTGAAGGAAGTACAATGTACATCCATAGCTTGTCTTAGACTGGTCTCCCTGCTCTTCAAACCTACAGACTTCCTCTTCTAGTAACTCCCAAAGCATCCTACCCAGAGACCTTCCCAACATGTCTCCAACTTTTTTACTAAACACTTTCTCAGACACCCACCTTAAGCAGTCTCTATCTAATCCACCCACTATTATGGAGACCAGTTACTGACAATTAGCACTCACAGTGTCCCAGCCTTTCTACCTGCTATTGTGCCAACTTCAGTGAAAATCTCAGGCCCCCAGTTACTGACTGGTCCAAAGCCACCAGGTAACACAAGGAGCTGGGCCAGAACCTCCAGCTGCTCCTCAGAACACTGGAGAGGCAGGTTGCCTAAGAAGAGGGCTGCTTGGCTATGGAAGAGTGAGAAAGAAGGGAAGAGGAATTCAGCTTCAGTGATAGGATAATAGGCCAAGCTTTGGATGAATCCCCTTACTCCATGACCCTTTCCTCTCTGGGTGAGCCCGTCTTCACTTTCAACACCACCACTCACACCCCCCTCCACAGATGACCTAAACTCCCAACTGCTGATATGCTGTAGCTCTTCTGGCCGCAGTCCACAGAGCGTGTAACCCAGTGCTGTCAAGTGAATGAAGTCCAGGTGGCTCACGTGCCGGCCACTCTGCCGCAAGAAGCTGGAGACCACAATCCGGAGCTGGGGTGTGAGATGAGCAGAGAGAATGTAAAGGACAAGAAGAAAAATCATAGGGAATTAATGGAAGGGGAACACAGAGCAGTGATCAATGCTTCAAAATTTATATTCTCTAATTATTAAGACATGGCCATCTAATAGCCATGGAGCAAGTTGAAGATCAAAAATAGACAGAAAAGAGGTGCCATCAGGAAAGAAGCAGGAGGAAGTATTATGCGTCCAGAGCCTCAGTTACTGTTGTTAGGTACCCTTGAGTTAGTTCTGACTCATAGCCACCCTTTATAGGGTTTCCAACGCTGTAAATCTCCCATGGAGCAACTGGTGGGCTTGAACCACTGAACTTGTGGTTTGCAGTCCAGTGTTTATCCTATAGAGCTACATACTCCCCCAATGTTACTAATATGTTGTTGCTGTTAAGTGCTGTCAAGTTGGTTCTGACCCATAGCAAGTAATGGATGAGCTTGAACTCCCAACCTTGAAATTCAAACCAACTTAAGTCCAGCACATTAACCTGTAGCGCCACACCAGGACTCCAATGTTACTAATATAGGCTATTAAATAAAAATAATAGCCAGGCAGAGTCACAGGAAAAAAAATTCCTTGCACTTCAGAGGCTTGGGTCTATGGGATGAATGTTGCAGGGGAAGAGTAGGGAGGAAACAAAGTGTTACCTGGATGGAGCTCCAGCCATCTATCTGCCCCAGGATGCTGAGCACTCCCCAGTCCACCAGCATTAGCTCCTGTAGTTCCCGTTCTCCTAGTCCTATTAAGAGTCGACCTAGCTGCAGGATTTGCTCAGGACGGAATCCTCTTGGGGGACCCCACAACTAGAAGAAAAAGAGGAACAATGCGAATGGAAAAGGCATTGGAGACTTGTCTCTGACCTTTGTTGTGTGACTTGAGGCAAATTATTTACTTTCTCTGGGTTTTAAGTTTCCTTAACTATGGAATGAGTGGGTTATTAAAAATGATTGAAAGACCTTGCCATCTCAATAGAAAAGAACAGCAAACTCTAGTTCATGAGTCATGGGCTCTAATTTTTTTGTGCATCAGACTCACCAGGCGTGCTAGTTCCAATGCAGATGCCCATGACCCACTTCCAGAGATTCTTAGGTAGCATGGGATCTAGCATCAGCATTTTAAACACCTGTTCCCAGATGGCTTTGATATACACTAAACTACTATCTACGGGTCTAGTCTCTCTACCCATTGTACTGGCTCCCTTTCCTCAATATTATCCCCTCTCTTCCCACTTCTTATATAATCTAACTCTCTTTATCTTCTATTACCCTTTGCCACACCACATCCAATTAGCTTTCCCATGTTTTTCCACTTCCAACCCCAACTGGTTTCTCTATCCCTAACCTGCTTTGCCTTTCTCATGGCTGCCTGTAGTTCCTCAGGCCCAAGTCCTGAATCTCCTGCAAAGAGTTCCAGGCAGTCCTCAAAATCTGAGAGCTCCATCTGTGCAATCTGTGTTGCAGACCAGGCTGCTGGGAATGTCCCCCGTATATCTGCACAATTTGGCACAGGTTCTGAAGAGGAAGGGAGAGCCAGAGGGTCAGTGTAGTGCTAAAATATGCCCCATTATACATTGACAATTGTTTATATAGAATATATATAAAATGACCCCTACAATCTTTGGAGGATGGGGCAGTGTGGGCAATGTAGGTAGAGGGATTATTATAGTGTGAGATTTATAGGACTTGAGGAATAGTAGAACAGGAAGGGATTAAAGAGGACAAGCTCCTCATTTTATAGATGGTAAAGCTGACTTAGAGGAGGTTTCCCAGGGATTTAATGGCAAAGCTGGGATTAGAGCCTAGGTCCCTATCTCCTTCCTATATCCTAGGATCGCCCCAGTGATGATCTCTACATTTAGCCAAGTCTAAAACTGAGTTCTGGTGTGGTGCTGTGGGTTAATGCGCCAGACTGCAAAGCTGTTTGAACTGCAAGGTTGGCGGTTCAAACTCACCAGCTGCTCCTCAGAAGCCCTATACAGGGTAGCTATGGGTCGGAACCAACTTGATGGCACTTAACAACAACAAAGCTGAGTGATCTGTTTGCAGGGAGAAGAGAGCAGGAAAAGGGGAATCGTGAGCCCCGAACTTTGTGGATTACAAACTCTCAGAACTATAGAACCCTAGAACTAGAAGAAACTTTGAGGATTATCCCTTTAACCCTTTTGTTTTGTAGATAGGAAAATCAAAACCCAAAGAGCAAAAGGTACAGAACACCAGATTTCTGGATATATGGTTAGATACTCTTGCCTGTACATCCTGCTAGAGGTATGATTTATTGGGTAATTTCACCTGGGAGATCCTCTGCAGCAGGATGTACAATTCCAGACACCAAAGCTGCTTTCTTGGGAGCCAGTTCTGGACCCCTACACAGTTGTCCTGCTCTGCTCTGCTCCCAGCTCTGTTGTCTCTCTAGAAGCCGCTCCAGAGTCTCTGGACCTAAGATCTCCTACATTGAGACAGTAGAGTCAGGGTGGGAGACCTGGACAGGACCAGTATCAGCTGCAGAAACTACAGTTCCAAAATCCTGTTTCTGTTTAGCAGTATCCCCTAAATCCAGATTTGACATTTTTCCCTCCAACCTCCTTGACGTTGGGTCCCCAGAACCAACTCACCAGTCCCCACTATGCTCAAAATCCCTCCCTTGTTTCTTCAACTTACCCTAGGGATCAAGGCTATAGCCTCAGTAGAAAGAGTGAATACTAGGCGTCCAACTTGTTCTACTGCATCCTGGCTCCACAATTCTGGCTTCCTGGGGAACAGAAAGGAGATCATAGTCTGGGGAACTAAGAAAAATGTGAAGAAAAGGAAGGTGACAAGAGAACATGGTAGGATTGGGTACTCAGGACTCCAAGGGACCTCAAGCATATGGAAAGGACTGCCACTGATGATGGTGGTTAAGGGGTTGGACTTAGGGTCAGGATGAGTTTGAATTTGAAGTTCCTAAAGGTCCATACCCAAGAAGAGGCTCCTGCAACAGCAGCCATCCCAGCTCTGAAGCAAACGGCTCTCCCAGGCAGTAGTCCTGCAGTTGACTGAGATAGGAAAGCAGGGTCTGTAGGGGGATCCGTCGTGTGCTTTCTACCCCCAGGAATCCAACCAAGGGGCCCAATGCTTCCAGCACCTCCCTTGAGACAGGAGCCTCTTTTGGAGCCTAGAACAGTGCATAGAGACAATGCCACCACTGATTCAGAGTACTAGAGTCTGTGATCAAAGCACTAAGTTCCTTAACCTTTCCCTTCTTCCAGTTCCCAACACAAAGCCCTATGATGTGCAATGCCATTATTTACTGTCTTATCCAATGATTCCAGCCAGGATCAGGTAGAAAGATTAGACTAGTAGTCCAAGGGATTTTGTGGAATGCAAAGGGTGAGGAC